TATTTACATATAAACATGCATAATACACGTACATATATTTTTATTATATACATATTTAATTATATATAATATTGCTATCATATTATTTACATGATATAATTTAATATTCATATATATAACATTATATATATCTTGCTCCTATTAAATCTAGTATGAGAAATTTTAGAAATTCAAGTATATGTATTCTGTTTATATGTAAATATATATTTATTTACACATAAACACAATACATATACTTGAATTTCTAATATTTACGTATAAACATGTGCATAATTCGTATCAAATATACAAAGTATTTAAAATCCTAATATACACGTTCATATATATATTATATAAATATTTATTTATATATAATATTTCTATTATATTATATGCATAATATAATATATATATAATATATATAAGAACAAACGTTCAATGTATATATCTAAAGATCATTTTCATTGCCACGTTCAAAATATCGACGTTTGGTATCTGTGTGTGTATATATAACATAATAATACACATGTGTGTGTATGAATGTGTGTGTCACCTGCGGCACAAATTTTACAAGTAATTCTTTTGCAAATAACATATCACCGTTTGTCATGGTTAAGAGTTTCAACTTATTTCTTTATTATGTAAGGTCGAGGTCGATACGTTTGCGAGGAATGTGGCATTCGTTGTAAAAAGCCATCCATGTTAAAGAAACATATCAGAACGCACACAGACGTAAGGCCGTACACCTGTAAACATTGTGCTTTCAGGTAAGTCGTTTCCAACGAGTTTTCCACCTTTCGCTATTTCCTTCTTACAAATTGCATACTTTGATACCTTACTAAATAATACTTTAGGTAGCGGACATTAAACACCTTTTTCTCATACTTAAGTCTACGTAACGCTTTTCCTTATCACCTATAAGTACACGTTAAAGAATTTCCACGAATAATTTCCGTTCCGTTAATAATTTATATCTAATCATATCTCCAAGACCATTAAACCAATATTTTAATGGATAGCCTATTTAATACCGTCGGAAAATTAACAAAAATAGTATACATACGTTATATACAAATTTCTTTTCATTAAAGTTACTATCTATTTATTATCCATGAAATAAATTTAATCGTTGCAAAAGTTTTCTTGAAAATTTATCTGAAGTATGCTCATTCTATTAACTCTTGCACTCGACGAATTTTTGGCTAGAAAAGAGTAGAAAATCAAAGATTCTCTTCTAAAAAAACTGACAGTACTTTTTTGAGCAGTAAATAAAGAATTGTATGATAATAAAATTGTAGAATTATTTGATTTCGATACCTTGCACACTGTTACATTACATGAAATTTGATATATTAATTAATATCGATCTTCCAAATTTTATGAAATGGTGACTGAAGATCACCTCTCGAATGCGAAGGGTTAATATTCAATTTTTCTTACTTTAGAAAGTAGAATATTATCTAGTAAAATATTTTACCCTTTATCAATTGATCTCTACCTACAAATAGAAAAATTTTTGAAGAATTTAATACGTTATAGAAAATACTTTCAGTTACATGCAAATATACATAAAACAAATTAGATCTTCCTTGTTAAATTTGTTTATCTTAAGGTTTTGTATAATATGTAAAGTAGATCAAGTTATTAAGTACTTGGAAGAGTCGCGATTTTCCTCAAGTTTCCCAACTGTTGCAGGATTTTGCAATATGAAATTCCAGTTATTCAAAGTATTAATCGTAACTTCGCAAATACATAATCTTTCTTTTACGTATAAAAGAGTCAACATAAAAAAATACCGATATGAGAACAAATATGAAAATAATTGCACGAGAAAGGTTAAATAATTCCATATAAAGTAACTGTATAAAATTGAAATCGGTATAAGTCGTTTCATATTTCGACTAAAATTCGAGTACAAAGCCCCTTAGACAAAACTGCTTCGAACGTATCGATATTTGCACGAAAATCGGTATAAGTCGTTTCATATTTCGACTAAAATTCGAGTACAAAGCCCCTTAGACAAAACTGCTTCGAACGTATCGATATTTGCACGAAAATCGGTATAAGTCGTTTCATATTTCGACTAAAATTCGAGTACAAAGCCCCTTAGACAAAACTGCTTCGAACGTATCGATATTTGCACGAAAATCGGTATAAGTCGTTTCATATTTCGACTAAAATTCGAGTACAAAGCCCCTTAGACAAAACTGCTTCGAACGTATCGATATTTGCACGAAAATCGGTATAAGTCGTTTCATATTTCGACTAAAATTCGAGTAAAAGGCCCCTTAGACAACGTATCGATATTTGCACGAAAATCGGTATAAGTCGTTTCATATTTCGACTAAAATTCGAGTAAAAAGCCCCTTAGACAACGTATCGATATTTGCACGAAAATCGGTATAAGTCGTTTCATATTTCGACTAAAATTCGAATAAAAAGCCCCTTAGACAACGTATCGATATTTGCACGAAAATCGGTATAAGTCGTTTCATATTTCGACTAAAATTCGAGTACAAAGCCCCTTAGACAGAACTGCTTCGAACGTATCGATATTTGCACGAAAATCGGTATAAGTCGTTTCATATTTCGACTAAAATTCGAGTAAAAAGCCCCTTAGACAACGTATCGATATTTGCACGAAAATCGGTATAAGTCGTTTCATATTTCGACTAAAATTCGAGTAAAAAGCCCCTTAGACAACGTATCGATATTTGCACGAAAATCGGTATAAGTCGTTTCATATTTCGACTAAAATTCGAGTAAAAAGCCCCTTAGACAACGTATCGATATTTGCACGAAAATCGGTATAAGTCGTTTCATATTTCGACTAAAATTCGAGTAAAAAGCCCCTTAGACAACGTATCGATATTTGCACGAAAATCGGTATAAGTCGTTTCATATTTCGACTAAAATTCGAGTAAAAAGCCCCTTAGACAACGTATCGATATTTGCACGAAAATCGGTATAAGTCGTTTCATATTTGGACTAAAATTCGAATAAAAAGCCCCTTAGACAACGTATCGATATTTGCACGAAAATCGGTGTAAGTCGTTTCATATTTCGACTAAAATTCGAGTACAAAGCCCCTTAGACAAAACTGGTTCGAACGTATCGATATTTCCACGAAAATCGGTATAGGTCGTTTCATATTTCAATTAAAATTCGAGTACAAAGCCTCTTAGACAGAACTGCTTCGAACGTATCGATATTTGCACGAAAATCGGTGTAAGTCGTTTCATATTTCGACTAAAATTCGAGTACAAAGCCCCTTAGACAAAACTGGTTCGAACGTATCGATATTTCCACGAAAATCGGTATAGGTCGTTTCATATTTCAATTAAAATTCGAGTACAAAGCCCCTTAGACAAAACTGGTTCGAACGTATCGATATTTCCACGAAAATCGGTATAGGTCGTTTCATATTTCAATTAAAATTCGAGTACAAAGCCCCTTAGACAAAACTGGTTCGAACGTATCGATATTTCCACGAAAATCGGTATAGGTCGTTTCATATTTCAATTAAAATTCGAGTACAAAGCCCCTTAGACAAAACTGGTTCGAACGTATCGATATTTCCACGAAAATCGGTATAGGTCGTTTCATATTTCAATTAAAATTCGAGTACAAAGCCCCTTAGACAAAACTGGTTCGAACGTATCGATATTTCCACGAAAATCGGTATAGGTCGTTTCATATTTCAATTAAAATTCGAGTACAAAGCCCCTTAGACAAAACTGGTTCGAACGTATCGATATTTCCACGAAAATCGGTATAGGTCGTTTCATATTTCAATTAAAATTCGAGTACAAAGCCCCTTAGACAAAACTGGTTCGAACGTATCGATATTTCCACGAAAATCGGTATAGGTCGTTTCATATTTCAATTAAAATTCGAGTACAAAGCCCCTTAGACAAAACTGGTTCGAACGTATCGATATTTCCACGAAAATCGGTATAGGTCGTTTCATATTTCAATTAAAATTCGAGTACAAAGCCCCTTAGACAAAACTGGTTCGAACGTATCGATATTTCCACGAAAATCGGTATAGGTCGTTTCATATTTCAATTAAAATTCGAGTACAAAGCCCCTTAGACAAAACTGGTTCGAACGTATCGATATTTCCACGAAAATCGGTATAGGTCGTTTCATATTTCAATTAAAATTCGAGTACAAAGCCCCTTAGACAAAACTGGTTCGAACGTATCGATATTTCCACGAAAATCGGTATAGGTCGTTTCATATTTCAATTAAAATTCGAGTACAAAGCCCCTTAGACAAAACTGGTTCGAACGTATCGATATTTCCACGAAAATCGGTATAGGTCGTTTCATATTTCAATTAAAATTCGAGTACAAAGCCCCTTAGACAAAACTGGTTCGAACGTATCGATATTTCCACGAAAATCGGTATAGGTCGTTTCATATTTCAATTAAAATTCGAGTACAAAGCCCCTTAGACAAAACTGGTTCGAACGTATCGATATTTCCACGAAAATCGGTATAGGTCGTTTCATATTTCAATTAAAATTCGAGTACAAAGCCCCTTAGACAAAACTGGTTCGAACGTATCGATATTTCCACGAAAATCGGTATAGGTCGTTTCATATTTCAATTAAAATTCGAGTACAAAGCCCCTTAGACAAAACTGGTTCGAACGTATCGATATTTCCACGAAAATCGGTATAGGTCGTTTCATATTTCAATTAAAATTCGAGTACAAAGCCCCTTAGACAAAACTGGTTCGAACGTATCGATATTTCCACGAAAATCGGTATAGGTCGTTTCATATTTCAATTAAAATTCGAGTACAAAGCCCCTTAGACAAAACTGGTTCGAACGTATCGATATTTCCACGAAAATCGGTATAGGTCGTTTCATATTTCAATTAAAATTCGAGTACAAAGCCCCTTAGACAAAACTGGTTCGAACGTATCGATATTTCCACGAAAATCGGTATAGGTCGTTTCATATTTCAATTAAAATTCGAGTACAAAGCCCCTTAGACAAAACTGGTTCGAACGTATCGATATTTCCACGAAAATCGGTATAGGTCGTTTCATATTTCAATTAAAATTCGAGTACAAAGCCCCTTAGACAAAACTGGTTCGAACGTATCGATATTTCCACGAAAATCGGTATAGGTCGTTTCATATTTCAATTAAAATTCGAGTACAAAGCCCCTTAGACAAAACTGGTTCGAACGTATCGATATTTCCACGAAAATCGGTATAGGTCGTTTCATATTTCAATTAAAATTCGAGTACAAAGCCCCTTAGACAAAACTGGTTCGAACGTATCGATATTTCCACGAAAATCGGTATAGGTCGTTTCATATTTCAATTAAAATTCGAGTACAAAGCCCCTTAGACAAAACTGGTTCGAACGTATCGATATTTCCACGAAAATCGGTATAGGTCGTTTCATATTTCAATTAAAATTCGAGTACAAAGCCCCTTAGACAAAACTGGTTCGAACGTATCGATATTTCCACGAAAATCGGTATAGGTCGTTTCATATTTCAATTAAAATTCGAGTACAAAGCCCCTTAGACAAAACTGGTTCGAACGTATCGATATTTCCACGAAAATCGGTATAGGTCGTTTCATATTTCAATTAAAATTCGAGTACAAAGCCCCTTAGACAAAACTGGTTCGAACGTATCGATATTTCCACGAAAATCGGTATAGGTCGTTTCATATTTCAATTAAAATTCGAGTACAAAGCCCCTTAGACAAAACTGGTTCGAACGTATCGATATTTCCACGAAAATCGGTATAGGTCGTTTCATATTTCAATTAAAATTCGAGTACAAAGCCCCTTAGACAAAACTGGTTCGAACGTATCGATATTTCCACGAAAATCGGTGTAAGTCGTTTCATATTTCGACTAAAATTCGAGTACAAAGCCCCTTAGACAAAACTGCTTCGAAGGTATCGATATTTCCACGAAAATCGGTGTAAATCGTTTCATATTTCGACTAAAATTCGAGTAAAAAGCCCCTTAGACGATGTATCGATATTTGTACGAAAATCGGTATAAAGTCGTTTCATATTTCGACTAAAATTCGAGTAAAAAGCCCTTTAGACAACGTATCGATATTTGCACGAAAATCGGTGTAAGTCGTTTCATATTTCGACTAAAATTCGAGTAAAAAGCCCTTTAGACAACGTATCGATATTTGCACGAAAACACTCTGAAACGTGGTTTGTTTCTGCACACAGCTTTAAAACCAAAGGCAACCTGACGAAGCATATGAAATCGAAGGCTCATTACAAGAAATGCGTGGAACTGGGCGTCGTTCCGGTACCAACGACGGTCTGCGACGAAAATATCGACAAGGACGCCATCGCTCGACTAGCAGCAGGTGGCAACACGGAGGAGTCGTCCGAGGAGGAGGAAGACAGCGACGGAGAGGATAGCGAGGAGTCCGGAAGCGAGGAGCAAGAAGCTGCTCAGAGTTTGCTAAGTCTGTCTCAACGTAACACAAACAGATTCCCGGGACTTCTACCGTCTGGAAGGCCGACCACTTACCCCTACACTCTAACTTTCCCGACAACCTCCACGTCCACGAGCGTGTCTACCGCGATAAGCAGCGTGTCTCTGAGCAGCCAGGCTGTGACCACGCAAGAGACCACCCTCGTCCGAAACGAGTTGTCCCATCGCTACTACTTCCTCTCGAGTCGAACCGCGCCGGAGGAGTCGAGGACGAGTGTGATTCAGTCGTCGAAGAAGGAAAGCTCGGACGTCGAGGTGAACGAGGTCGATACCGACTCGAGGAACAGCCTAGCCCAGCCCATGGATCTGACCACGAAGCCGGCCCTGCAACCGTTAGCCACCTCCATGCCGCAGAGAGCTAGACCAGCTGACATATTGACCCCAGTTTCGGAACCCGTGCTGTTGCAAACGATAGTCCAGACCATGGAAAGATTACCGATACAGGGCAGAGAGTGGAAACCTGACGCGGAAGGGCACATGCTGCAAGCGTATCTCACCGAAAGGCACGTGATGGATAGCAAGATCAAACAGCAGTATCGGGTGGGGAACACGAAAATGGAGAAACAGTCGAAAGAGAGGGATATTTACCCGCAACAATCCTCCCCGAAGTCGAGGAACGTGGAGCTAGAGGGTATACCCGCGACCACCTTCACCGACCCTAGTAAGATACAGATGACGATGCTGGATTCGAGGATCAAGCACGTGTCGAAACACACCACGGAGGATATCAAGATGGAAATTAGGGAGAAAATTTATCAGAACAACGTAGGGGTGGATCGACGACCGTTCGACATCGAGTTGATGCATAGGGACAAAGAGTTATTAGGGAACCGTGCGATTGTAGACAGAGATAACTTCGAGCACAGTTTAGCGAGTCCTGTTAGCTTGAAAACCGGGGTAGATTGTAATTTGTCGAAGAGTAATAGTTGTGTAGAGAGGTCGAATTATCCGATAGAGCATCCTCCTAGTACAAGCACGCCGCAAAGCGTGGATCGTCATTCTCCAAAGTCTTTCAACGTGGATGGTAATAATCGGCTGTTAGCGATACCACACTCGGGCAACGATATCGATAGGAATTCAATGTACAATTCGATGAAGACGATGAACGAGCTGGAAAGAGTTCGAGAATGTCACGCGGTTAATCAAGAGATCAGATCAAGCAATCACGAGATGAAGAACGTGTCGGCGGATCTCCGAATGCAGAGTCAGAGTACGCGGAATTTAGACATGAGACCGCCCAGTAGAGAAGTACGTGCGCCATGCCAGGACTACAGGGGTCAAGTGCAAGACTTACGACCTCCCAATCAAGACTACAAATTGTGCAGACAAGAATTGAGACCTCCTAGTCGGGAATTCAAGCTTCCGAATCACGATATACGCTTAAGCCAAGATATGCCGTCCTCGAACAACGTTGAGATCAGACCGGCCAACGTGGATAACAGGCCTCCGAGCAGGGATATGATTTTATTGCCGGAATACAGACACGCACAGTCCCAGGAGCCGAGGGTTAATTTTGAAATGATGTCGTTAACGATGCACGAACCCTCTAAAATGCACGAAGTCTCGAGACCGCAGAACGTTGACATGAGGAACGTGGATCGTATAGAGATGAAGCATACAGAGATGACGAAACAGAGTATAGCTGAGAGCATTAAGCACACGGTTGCACGGAAAATGGTTGTCGGGGGACCCGGCTTCAGATCACCTTCACCCACCGCGGGAACCACCAAACCACAAGCTGAGTTCTTGCAGCCTTCGAATGGACCTGCACCTAATTATGTCAGGTGAGTGATACTTGACACGTTACTTAGCCTATCAATTATGCCAATTTAGATGGATTGCTTTCATATTCGTACGTTGAATGTTTCCTTTTAATTCCTTTTTTCTTTTAGTGCAATGTTTTAGGACGAGTTTGACTAGCTTTAGTATAATATGCTAAGATTGACAGATCATCAAGGAACTTGATACATCATCAAGGATACGAGTGTTGGGTTTTATTAGCAATTATTTGGATTATTGTTTCTTTGAGATATATATTCCTTTCTAAATGTGAGCTGTAGTAGTGAATAATGATAGAAATAAATACTGTATTTCATTAAAAATGATTTAAGTGATCATTTTTGTTGTGGAAAGCATGAATTGTACTATATTGAACATATGATGGCAGAAAATAGATATCATGCTTTAGTAAGAATTATTAAATGATGATTTTTATTGTTTAAAATTGATATCTTACTTTAAATCTGAATTATATTGAACGTAAGGTTGTATTATTAATTGTACTGTCCTATGACATATTGAATTAATCATTAATAAAAGTAGATTAATTGTATGTGAATCACAGATAATAATCACATGTAAATATGATAAAGCATAGTTTTATTACCAATGTGATAATATTATTAAAAATGAGGATTCCAATATACAAATATTACTATATTTAAAATATTAATAATCCAAATGAGTTAACACATTTTAATCAATTAAAGGATTAAAAAAAAAATATTTTAAATTTAATATTTGCTATTGATTAATTTTATGAAACCATTATGATTCATTCGCCATCTTTGGTATTGAAATAATCCAAATAAGTTAACACATTTTACTGAATTAAAAAATTGAAAAAAGGAATATTTTAAATTTAAATATATTTAAAATTGGAAATTTAATATTTGCTATTGATTAATTTTATGAAGCTGCTATGATTCATTCGCCATCTTTGATATTGAAATAATCCAAATAAGTTAGCACATTTTACTGAATTAAAAGATTGAAAAAAGGATATTTTAAATTAAAATATATTTAAAATTGTAAATTTAATATTTGCTATTGATTTATTTTATGAAACCGTTATGATTCATTCGCCATCTTTGATATCAAAATAATTCAAATAAGTTATCAAATTTTACTCAATTAAAAGATTAAAGAAAGAATATTTTTAATTAAAATATATTTAAAATTGGAAATTTAATATTTGTTATTGATTAATTTTATGAAACCATTATGATTCATTCGCAAACTTTGATACTGAAATAACTTTCATTAAAAGAACTGAATCTACCGAACGTAGTTACAGTGTGACTGAAGATGGGAGAAGCGTCTGTGGAATTTGTAACAAGGTGTTCAGCAAACCTAGTCAGTTACGGTTGCATATCAACATTCATTACTTCGAGAGACCATTTAGATGCGAAAGTTGCGCGGTTTCTTTTCGAACCAAGGGTCATTTAACAAAGCACGAAAGATCTGTATCTCATCATAATAAGGTAACACGCTTTTTCACTTAAATATCAGATGTCTTCTTTATTCTAATAAAATCTTGAATAATTTTATTCATATCTAGTCTATAACTATTATTATTGTTAAATTTAAGTATTTGAAACGTTGTAGATAATTTGCATGTTTTTTCCAGGATATAGCAAAATATCATTTAAATATTTCACTATATGTATTTATCATTTTTTGAAATGACAAATGCTCGATTTTTGCAGTCATAATTTATTATTTATTTAATTATTGTTAGACAAAATATTTTGCAATAATAAAAACAAAAGAAAAATGGAGAGAACAAATGAAAACCATATGGGAAGAAACATGTATAAAAAAGAGTAATTTGATATAACGTAGTGAACATGGGTTCAAAAACATAAGCCTTCTAAAAATAGGTTTTTAAAAATTTTGTAAAGCTCCAAAGGCATATCTAATGTTGTGAAAATTGATGTTTTTGAAATACAAGAGAGTGCCAAAAATATATATTAAATTGCAAAATTAAATAAAACATAAGATTGATTAAAATTATTATAAAAACATTATTGTAAAATTAAAAATTGCACTTATAATGTTCTTCCTCTATAGTCTTTATGAAATAAAAGAAAAGAAAAAAACATTAAAATTAAAAATTTTAGTAATTTGCATAATTTTTATAGAGCTATACATAATTTATTCACGTATGTTATACATTAAACGTGTTATTATTGTTTAATTGTTAAACGAATAGGAAAAACGTTAAATCAAATTGAATAAGTAGTCAAAATCAAATGTGATTTTGATCAATATGACTTTGACAAAATGAAACTATTTTCTTTTTAAGGACAAATAGAAAATAGTACCAATCCATTTTTTCTATAAATTAACATATAGCTCAAGAGAAATTATTTTCTTAAAAAAGAATATAAACATACGCTAAAAATCTTCGTTACTCTCAAACCATTTTAACAATACACGATTCTACGTAAATATCTTGAACCACTTCTTATGTTACATCTTCAGACACGATGTTACATCTAACTGCTATACAAACTTTTCACATTACCATAACTTCGTCCAATTTCAAGCCTAGATTCGTAAAACAAACACGTACGAATAACGGCGTTAGAAGCGGTTTGACTTTGACTAGAGGAAACGACGTGCTCAGAATGAACTTACATTATAAACAAACTCACTTTTATTTCCTCTAGCAAATAGCTTCAGAGTTAAAAAGTTATTATCTTTAGATGTTTGTTATTAATAACGTCATACTTGGAAAACCATGCAAATTTTCGAGATTGATTAATCATCGTTGCTTTGGGAGAAAGAGAGAGAGAGAGAGAGCGAGAGAGAGAGCCAAAGTCTGAACTGACTGTAAAATTTATTTGACTACGACCACGTAAATGAATTGTTGTGTTATAGGTTAGTATGACTTCTACGTTCGGAGCTGCGACCACCAGCAATCCTAGGCCATTCAAATGTACTGACTGTAAAATAGCATTCAGAATACATGGTCACTTGGCGAAACATCTGCGTAGCAAAATGCATATTATGAAATTAGAATGTCTGGGGAAATTACCGTTCGGAACGTATGCTGAGATGGAAAGGTCTGGTGTCAATTTAAATGATATTGATACTACCGACTGTGATAATAGTCTTAATAGTCTTCAGGTAAATAATATGTTAGAAAATTTTCAATTCCTACTTGTATTTACACGTAATTTTCGATTATTTTATTAGTACCTGTAATAACATAAACTTGTGGAAGTAATATATTCAATGTAGAAAATGAGAAAATTATGTAATATTAAATCTTATATATATAGTTATTTTTCACACTGACATTGATTAATTAATTTCTTCTAACAGATGCTGGCACAAAGACTTTGTGAAAAAGATCCTACTAAAATAGGACAGTGGGATTCTGAAACGATTCCAAGTCAGGTAATCAGCGGTGGTGAAACTTCGTCGGACGAGGGCGAGCCTATACCGCAACACGCGATGCATCCATATCCCGTGAAAGTGACAGACGCGGATATGGCTCGCTCGTACCATGTGCCAATCACGAACGAAGATCCGAAATCCGATGTTCGCCTTGGGAATGCACAGTTTACTCAACAGAGGCGCGAGTATAGCGTGAAAGAAAGGTCGAGTCAACCTACGTTTACCATAGACAATACAAGGCCAGACGAAGTCATACAATCGTACAAATGCCAAGTTTGCACAGTGTCTATGCGTACTATGAACGAGTTACAGGTACACTGCTTTGTTGAACATAATATCGAATCAGATTCTAGTACAAATACCCAAGGGGATAGGGGCTTGAACAAGTGTAGAGAGAAAGAGAATACTCAGAAAAGAATTACGGAAGAAACTGTAGTCAAGGAAGATCACAATAGACAAAAGATCGAAGACACATAGTGCCAAAATAATGCAGCGAACTATAGACAATCTGCGGTGAAGTTGTTTCAAAGAATTCGTAGCCGTAACCGATAAAATAGCTGTAGTAACAAAATACCATCGCCTTTCGAAGGAAATTTCTCAAGAGACATTCTCATTAACTACTAATATTGTTTGCTGTGACTAAGAATTACAGCAAATTTCTTCCGAGATGCCAAAAGGTGTGGTTTAATTATATTAAAAAGAAGTTCTACATTATGGTAATGTACAGCAAATATTATCAAGAGAAATGATTACTATTATAATGAAATTCTGATTTATTTAATATTTATTTTACGCGCCAAAGTACATAACGGATGCATACCTTTCAAATAAAAAATATTTAAATGCAAATTAAAAATTAATTAATTTCGCTGATTAAAAAAGTAATATCCAATGTTTGATATAACTTCTTTCTTTTAACATTTTACTGAACAAGATCACCTTTCTAACAAATTGCATACCCAAAAGTTATATTTGGTGCTTTGAAAATCGTTTGCCGATGCTGGCTCCAAAGGAACAATTAAATTTAAAAAAGATGAAAATATTTTTTTTGCTATATATTTTCAATTACTATTATAACTTTCAATAAGGAAGTTTTTTCTACTTAAAATTTTCAATTGAATTCGTTTTTCTTTTTTTGTGTTATTTGTCAAAATAAACAGAAAGAATAAAATGAATAACATTTGTTTGTTCAGTGAGCAGGACATTTTCTGTACATTTGTATCAGATGGAACTGAAATTTTTTTTACATTTAAATTAATATATAGTATTTCAATTTTACATAAATATTATTGTTCATTTTATTTTGCTTCAATATTCTAGAAAATGGTAATTTTTCAATGTCGAGTCAACCTACGTTTACCATAGACAATACAAGGCCAGACGAAGTCATACAATCGTACAAATGCCAAGTTTGCACAGTGTCTATGCGTACTATGAACGAGTTACAGGTACACTGCTTTGTTGAACATAATATCGAATCAGATTCTAGTACAAATACCCAAGGGGATAGGGGCTTGAACAAGTGTAGAGAGAAAGAGAATACTCAGAAAAGAATTACGGAAGAAACTGTAGTCAAGGAAGATCACAATAGACAAAAGATCGAAGACACATAGTGCCAAAATAATGCAGCGAACTATAGACAATCTGCGGTGAAGTTGTTTCAAAGAATTCGTAGCCGTAACCGATAAAATAGCTGTAGTAACAAAATACCATCGCCTTTCGAAGGAAATTTCTCAAGAGACATTCTCATTAACTACTAATATTGTTTGCTGTGACTAAGAATTACAGCAAATTTCTTCCGAGATGCCAAAAGGTGTGGTTTAATTATATTAAAAAGAAGTTCTACATTATGGTAATGTACAGCAAATATTATCAAGAGAAATGATTACTATTATAATGAAATTCTGATTTATTTAATATTTATTTTACGCGCCAAAGTACATAACGGATGCATACCTTTCAAATAAAAAATATTTAAATGCAAATTAAAAATTAATTAATTTCGCTGATTAAAAAAGTAATATCCAATGTTTGATATAACTTCTTTCTTTTAACATTTTACTGAACAAGATCACCTTTCTAACAAATTGCATACCCAAAAGTTATATTTGGTGCTTTGAAAATCGTTTGCCGATGCTGGCTCCAAAGGAACAATTAAATTTAAAAAAGATGAAAATATTTTTTTTGCTATATATTTTCAATTACTATTATAACTTTCAATAAGGAAGTTTTTTCTACTTAAAATTTTCAATTGAATTCGTTTTTCTTTTTTTGTGTTATTTGTCAAAATAAACAGAAAGAATAAAATGAATAACATTTGTTTGTTCAGTGAGCAGGACATTTTCTGTACATTTGTATCAGATGGAACTGAAATTTTTTTTACATTTAAATTAATATATAGTATTTCAATTTTACATAAATATTATTGTTCATTTTATTTTGCTTCAATATTCTAGAAAATGGTAATTTTTCAAATGTACATATATAACCAAGTCATCAGTATTTAGTATAGTTATATATGTACCAATGTTATATAGTATATATGTATTATATATATAGTTATATATGTATTATATAATATATATATAGTTATATATGTATTAATAATAAACATATTGTACAGATTTATAATCAAATGTATCACACAAAATGTGCCAAAAATTAATTAAAAGTGTAATGGTTTATCTAAATGTCATTTTTAAAAATAAAAAAAGAAAAAAAAACATCAAATTAATTCAGTTGCTTTTCAATTTCAGAAATAATATGATGAAACTAAATATTATTAATAAAATGCTATGTTTACTTTACTATAATATTAAAGTTTGATATTTTTATGTACAATATCTTATATCAAGATCATAAAACTGGATAAAACATTTTAATTTAAATCTTGGAATTGGAATAAGTGTACTTGTGAAACAGTTAAAGATCCTCAATGGGTACCAAGTACTACCAAAATGATAATGTGCCAAATATTAATATACTTATACTATATTATTTAATTTCATTGCGATAAAACTAATTTCGTAACTTAGTAGATAAACCATTAAAATTTTGTTCTAAAATTTTGGTACATATGTGAAGATGCAATTACAGAGTAAAGCGGATATTCTAACTCATTGATGGTAAGAAACGGAAACTTCCGTTTTAGTAACCGTTGTTTATATTGTTATAACGTTCGAGATAACAGTCTCTTCATTGTTGCTCATATTTTTGAAAAAGTGAACTTATACATATTTGATATTACCAATACCTGTAACATTTATATAACAACATAAACATTATGTACTATAATTACAGCTAAAAGTGAATCCAAATAGTACAATGTACTTCAAAAAAGATAGCTCGAAAATATAATTTTGATTAAATAGTGTAACATTTATTTACGACATTCATTAAAATTTTTTTTCTAATATTTTACATTACATGAACTTTACTGCTTAAATAACTTTAGATATTGGAAAATAAATTTTTTGTTGTGTTACAAAATTTATAAAGTAAAAGGTATCTAAACCTTACTTTTTAAACCTTTAAATTAAAAATTATCAAGTTCAGTTAATTAATATTGGTTGCTTCTATTTATTTATACATGAATATACATTTTTTATTTTATAAAATCTTATTTGTTTGTTTTTATGTTTAATTTATTTTATCTTCTATTCAAAAGTAATTTGTCAATTGAACTGTTTATTTTATTATTTAATTTCTTTTCTGAATTACATTATCACATAAAATAAAGAAACAAATTATAAAAATAGGAATCAAAAATTTATTTTACCAATTAATTTTGTTTAAAGAATTTGCAAATGTTAACATTTATATTCATTCTTTCAATTTGTGCTTTAACGTATTTATCTATATATAAAATATTTCTAATTTGTTTAATGTGCACTAAACTCCCTCTTTCACTTTTTAATTATAACACTAGAAAAACATGACATATTTATAAACAATAACATAACTTTTAATTGCACATCACAACTTTCTAACACAGACTATAATTATAATCCTTTTTTTGTATATCTTTTATAAAGAATTATTAATGTGGTATGATCTACAATATCTCATCCTTAATTATTTGTTTAATAAATGTTTAAAATTAAATGTTAACTATAATAATAAATTCAAATAAATAGAATATTGTCATATATAGTGCTCACTTCGTATACTTTCATGGCTCATATAACACCACTAAGAGTCCAGACTGAAAAACTTCTATTTATTATATAAAATAGAAAATTATAATTTACATTAATTTAGTAAAAGTAATAGTAATTTATTACTAAAAGCTTATCTTTCTTAATTGTTATATTTTAAAACCAAAATATAAGTTGAAAGTTCTGGTTTAAGACTCAATAAACTTTCCTTCGAAAAGTGATGGAATATAAACTGTAAGAGCATAGTTTTCATCTAGTAAAAGATATAATATTTATATACAATAGTGTTGTATCAGCATGAGGTGCAATGGACTGGCATGTGATTCTGTATTTAAAGTGCAACTGTTGCGTTCAACGTTGAAGAGTATTCTAATATTAAAAATTAATATTATATCTAATTATTGGTACATGAATCATATATATATACATATATTTGTATGATATTAGTATGAGCAATTATGAGAATTATTGTTGACATAAGAGAAGATGTGTTTGTATATATTTATGTATAATATAATGAAATCCTGTTAGTCTTCATTGTAATTTTAAGAAATTCATAATTGGGAACAGAATCGGTTATTCGGATCACTTGTAAATTGTAACTTCAATGAATCATCTTTATAAGTATCCTTTATTCTTTTGTTTTGTTTAAAATTCACATATATATTATTTACCTACAAAACAGAGTTAGGTAAAATATTTCAACCATTTGTTGTTTCATTTGTTTTATCTTCTATTCAAAAGTAATTTGTCAATTGAACTGTTTATTTTATTATTTAATTTCTTTTCTGAATTACATTATCACATAAAATAAAGAAATAAATTATAAAAATAGGAATCAAAAATTTATTTTACCAATTAATTTTGTTTAAAGAATTTGCAAATGTTAACATTTATATTCATTCTTTCAATTTGTGCTTTAACGTATTTATCTATATATAAAATATTTCTAATTTGTTTAATGTGCACTAAACTCCCTCTTTCACTTTTTAATTATAACACTAGAAAAACATGACATATTTATAAACAATAACATAACTTTTAATTGCACATCACAACTTTCTAACACAGACTATAATTATAATCCTCTTTTTGTATATCTTTTATAAAGAATTATTAATGTGGTATGATCTACAATATCTCATCCTTAATTATTTGTTTAATAAATGTTTAAAATTAAATGTTAACTATAATAATAAATTCAAATAAATAGAATATTGTCATATATAGTGCTCACTTCGTATACTTTCATGGCTCATATAACACCACTAAGAGTCCAGACTGAAAAACTTCTATTTATTATATAAAATAGAAAATTATAATTTACATTAATTTAGTAAAAGTAATAGTAATTTATTACTAAAAGCTTATCTTTCTTAATTGTTATATTTTAAAACCAAAATATAAGTTGAAAGTTCTGGTTTAAGACTCAATAAACTTTCCTTCGAAAAGTGATGGAATATAAACTGTAAGAGCATAGTTTTCATCTAGTAAAAGATATAATATTTATATACAATAGTGTTGTATCAGCATGAGGTGCAATGGACTGGCATGTGATTCTGTATTTAAAGTGCAACTGTTGCGTTCAACGTTGAAGAGTATTCTAATATTAAAAATTAATATTATATCTAATTATTGGTACATGAATCATATATATATACATATATTTGTATGATATTAGTATGAGCAATTATGAGAATTATTGTTGACATAAGAGAAGATGTGTTTGTATATATTTATGTATAATATAATGAAATCCTGTTAGTCTTCATTGTAATTTTAAGAAATTCATAATTGGGAACAGAATCGGTTATTCGGATCACTTGTAAATTGTAACTTCAATGAATCATCTTTATAAGTATCCTTTATTCTTTTATTTTGTTTAAAATTCACATATATATTATTTACCTACAAAACAGAGTTAGGTAAAATATTTCAACCATTTGCAAATGTAGATTTGGCTATGATCTTTTTATTTGTTATTCTAATTATTTTTAACATTATTTATTTCATTATTCTTGTTATTCTTATTAACAGTATATAGTTAATTCAAAAAATCAAATTTTAGTATGTACAAAATATTTTTTAATAAAATTTTAATTTAATAATACAAAGAGAACACAATATATATATCAGTATCAAGACAAATTACATTTTTTTCAATTTATGATAACATTATTGTAAATATTAAATAGTAGTAAATTTAATAACATGGTAAAAGATCTAAAATAATCAATAAAAAATTCATTTCAACTTTAAATAGAACTATGTGAAAGTAGAAGTACCTTATTTTGTCAATTTAATAAAGTTGGTTATAAAAAGTAAATAAGAAAAAATTGAATTTATAATAATTATTGAAATGTACTTGTAGAATGCCTAACTCTGTTTAATGATTGGTAAAAAGAAATATATTTGTTGGTAAGATTATTAGAATTTAATAAATATTGCAAACCCGATCATCGATATCAAACTGGGTAACCGATTTTCTGATTTTGCTTAAAATATTTAAGAAGCAACATACCTTCCACAAGCGACAGCTACTCTATCTTATAATTATTTACCTAATACACAACACCCAGTTTTTATTAACATGTCACTCAAGCACGACTTGTCTTTCCTACTGCATAATCAGACTTCGATTATCACAATTTGTACCTATGTGTGCTTGAGACGAAATAGTAGACGAATAGAACGACCGCACAATCATGTACATTGAGGTCCAGTTAAAGTCGCCAAACAATATCAATGTAGTATAGTTTGATATAGCATTTGGTGTATATTCATTCTAATGCAAATCAACTAAATCATGTATGAATTTCCAAAGTGTGCACGTGTGTATGTCCACAATGCCAAGCCAACAATGTTTATATTTTGGACGAAATAAGAAGATAAACAAAAAATAACTTTTGCATTGAAGATAATATTTGATAAAGGATATTAGAAGGAAGATTCCATGGAGAAAAAATATTTTGGAATGCAGCTGAAGCCAAATTTCATACAACGTAATATTTATCCCTTGACTATGTCATATGTGATTAGTAAGGTAGTTCTTTCAAAATATTATTCTCAATATATTTTCGAAATAATTGTTTTTTGTAAAAGTATCGAGTATTTTAAAAAGCATACATAACAAAACATCATTTACATATCAAATCTATTAATTTAGACCTAGGAAATCATAAATGTCTATACTTTTTGTCATTTATATACTACAGTAGAACAAACGATTTGATGTAAGATAAATTTGTATTCTATTGGAAAAAGAACATTACAAATATGTTAAACGACATATTTTCTCTATTGTAATTTGAAAATATTTTTAGATAATTTATACAAATATTTATGTACATCTATTTTTTGTTAATATGCAAACAAGAAATTTTTATGAACTTAATGTGTGAAATTCAAGTTCATTGATATGTTTAATTAGGTACATGCTAAATGAAAGAATTGATGTAAATGTTACTTTAAAATAAATTAGGGAATGAAGCATAGCACACAACAAACAAAAAATTTTAATGTACTTGGTCTATGCAATATTCTTTATTATATGCAAGGCATTTATCATTTATAGTAACTAATAACATTATGGTTATTACATTAAAAAAATAATTTTTAAAAGATAAACTAATTTATTGTGACAAACTATCAAATTATTTTGAAAGGAGCAATTACTCAAAAAGGAAAATATATTTTAAGAAAAAAATTATTACTGTATTACTTCACATAATAATATTTTATATTCAATTATAGAACTTTAACTTGTAATGATTAAAATTTATTAAACAATAGGTAAAAAATATATTAATTCTATATAATATTCTGTTTAAAATTATTTCTTTAGACAGATGAAACAAATACTATAAGCGATAAAATGCTTTGCTCTGTATATAACTCCTGTAAGAAGTTGGCTTGGCTCCTTCCAGTCTCAGTATTAAAAAATCATAAGAACAAGCAGGATCGAATTTATAGTTTGTGAATTATTTTTGATCAAATCATATTTTGCAAGAAAATCCTTCCAAAATTACCAACTATTTTCAAATTATTTTGAGAGTTTCTAAAACAATCTCTGTCTTTTTACAAATGATTTAAATTTTATAATGAGTGTTGACAGTAACACTTACAAACAGTTGGCAAACTGATATTTTATGTGCATCACTAAGATTTTATAAATACTTTTCTGAGTACATGATGTAAGTCGTGCTCATATGAAAACTATATCTTATACTTTTGTAGCTAGTTGCTACAATAATAAAACATTTCAAATTCGAGAATTTGTTAATGACATAGTATTTCAATGGAGGCTAGTGAAGCTTCTATTGGTGAATATCGTAATATAATGGGACCGCAGTAAAAGTTTATAAGATGTATACAAAAATACATCAACTTTTATGAAATGTGAGAATGCCAACATTTTGCTAGTGTCACCGTCAGTTTTCTTCCTGATTCTGTGACTCTGTTGAACTACTGATAAAAATGTAATTTATTTATTGTAAATAAAAACATATATTGCTTAAAATGTTTTATATTACATGATCTACATTGATACACAGTTAACAAAATTTTAATAAATAGAATAAAAGAATTAACCAATTTGAAATTTATCAAGAGCCATGAAATATATTTGGATTAATATCATTATAATTTTTTAAGATATTATCACAAGTATAAAAGTACAACTTTATGAATTATTTGGGATGGGAATAAATATTTAATTTGCAATAACTATGTGTATTATTTTATTACAAATTATTCAACCCTTACATAGATATGATTAGAAACATAGAATATTATTGTATATTATATTAAGAATAATGCAATATTATAGAATAAAGAAGAGAATATTACATTTATTATCTTAATTTTATTAAACTCATAACTTGCTTTTGCACCATAGCAAACAAATTTATCGTGCATCAAAGACAACAACTATATATTTATTAAGGAAAATAATTTACTCATTATATTTATATATATCTATAAAAATACATATTTATAGATTATTAATATTTAATAGTCAAACTTTTTTTAATTAAAGGATACGTCTTTTAGTTCTTCTTTTGTACATGATTCTGTATCCGCATTCTCTGCATCGAATTGGATCTCTTGGTCGTATTTCATTATCATAATGGCATTCTACAAAAACATGTAAAAATAAGTTTATAATAAAAAATTATAGTATTTTTATATTATAATATACATGTAATAAAATTGTATAACAAATACTTGAAGTAATTTAATATATAAAAATAACATTAGTAAATATTTTGAAAATAATAACTACTTTAAAAATACAATAGATAAACTAAAAATTAGTATACTAAAAATTTCACACATTTAAGTTACCAATTTTATGGCAAAATTATATCATATATAAATAGAAGTATAATAGATAATAATAAAATAATAAAAATCTTTGTTTCTCAAAATAAGAAATACGTAAAACAATTTTAAATTTTTTAAAATTTAAACCAAACAATTTTCCGATATTTATTTATATACGAAAAACGTAGAAAATGTATTAACGTTGTTACTCGATTAAAATTTCAATTGGGTGATAAAAACCTATAAATTATATAATAAAAACATAGAAAACTATTTACACAAAATTTTTTGTATATCAAAATTTATCTAGAAAATACATTATGATAATTATTCAACTGCACATCAAATTTGAGGTTAAAAGTATTTATGCAATACGTTTTTAGTCATACCTCCACAAATATATACCATAGCTTGTTTCGGTGTTGATTCTGATTTACTAGATTCCATTTTAAACAAATTTTTTATAAAGATTACTTAATATTTATGAAATACCACACAAAAATTCAGTCACTCTCTTAACGGCAAATAAATTCGAATCACACGTTATAGCATAGACATAGAATAAAATAGATCTATCACTCAACATAAATTTATGTTACTGTTACTAAACCGGAGACTATGTAATATGTAGTCTCTGTTACCGTTACCATGTCACTTCCCATGTTACCGATTTAGCGCAGAATAAGATTACAACATTAGTAGCGGACGGAATTAAAATTAAATGTAACTAATAAATCCTACATAAAGTATAGGGTACCTTATAATCGCAAACTTGGTATAGATTTCTACACTGATAAAGAAGTATTATCACTATTAATATTGCACTAATTAACTCGATAATTTTTTTATATCAGTATATTATTAAAATTCATACAAATCAACTTTCATCTTCAAAATCATTAACCTATGAGCTAAATTAGTTTTCATTTTTACTTAGAAGTCTTTTGTTATGAATTTTGTAAATAAGTATTTTTTAATATAAAACTATTTTTATTGTTCAAAAATTACAAATAAACTTTTACTTTAAGTTTTGGATAAAAGTTTTTGAATAAAATAAAATACAAAATATAAAAATATCATTCCTTTTTTTTTAATATTTAATTATCTAATTATTTTATATACTATTCAATTAGAATCAATTCTGAACCAATCGTTAAATTTTATTTCACCAATTCAGGTAAAAAAATAAAATTTTGTTTAAATTCATTTTACGTAAAATAGAATCGATGAAATGCAGAACTGCGATTCTTTTCATCTTATTCATGAATTAATATAGAAAATGATATTTAATAGTTCATTACTCTACTAATTCCTATATAAATTGTATTAAAAAAAAGAAAAATGTATATTTAGTAAATTTATTTTCAATAAAAATAATAATATATTCTTATATCTATATCTAAGAAATATCAAACAATCTTTTATTTAAAAAATTGTAAATTAAATATTTTTATAAAATTTTCAAACACAGTAGTACATTTAAAGATTTAAAAATCGTTCAAATTTACGTGTAACTCAATATAATTTTGATAAGATCATTTTTAAAAGAAAAATATTAACAATTTATTTTTCGCAATTTTGCAAGAATTTTATGAAAAGCACAAAAATTTAAATTTTCATTAGATAATAGTAATTGAAATTTGGCGTTCAAAATTATCCTCTTGACTTTTTACCGACGGATCACACCAGCTTGAAATATATCGCTTGATTTCTGTCAGCGGTAATAAGTACCTGTCTGCGGAATAATGTCTATCTTCCTCTATTTTGTCTTCGTCTTCCTAACCTCCGAAATATTTGCAGGGTGGTCAATTTTTTTTCTAGACATAGTTAATGGACATAGTATCTTTTACAAAATTCTAATTATACAAATATATGATATTTTCAACTAACTAAACCTAAATTGCTTTACAAAATAATTCGAAATTTTAACCTCTCAAAAATGAATAAAAGAGCAATAATTAAAGGACAAGGGACAGTAATTAAAGGACAAAACATTTTATATTATTTGTTCTTTTTATTTATTATTTAAAAAAAATGATGTACATATGTTTATGTTAGAAGGAGCATTTGTTATAATTAATGTGCAATAGAAATTATAAATATTTTATTTCCTATGCATTGGTCGTTAAATCGAATTATATCGAATAGCGTTGTCCAAATTTTTAAATAAAAATATTTTTGTACTAATGGTTATTATGTAGTCGAATTACTTTCAGAAAGTGTGTGACAGCAAGCAGAACATCCCTATAAACATTACATTTACTTTGATAGACACATCAGGCATAGTGTCTTTGTCTCTTACACACGTTCAAGTTGCATTTCTTTTATCATTCGGACGATGAAGGAAGCGATTATATTGTACCGAAATCAAGCAAGGTGGTATATGTATATAGGAATAAATAACATTTGGGTCTCACGTGATGATTTAATGTCGAATACTTTCCAATAGGATATGTGCCAATCTAAACACAACGTTTTTCAAGCTGTATCATGTAAACGAAGTGAAATATACAATGATGTTGTAACAACGTACATTAATAATCAAGAATAACTCTTAAATTTACTAGAAATATTCATATTGCACTGTACTGAAAAATATGACAACATAATTTTTAATTTAGAAATAATTTATCTCATACGGAATATTATCGACGGCGGTACCGTACGTATGTCACGTGTTGTGATACAGTATAATTATACTATTGTAAAATCGACAAGTAAAATTATAAAGAAGTGAAAAAACATGAAAATTAAATCAATTCTTAATAAAATATAAATTAAATTTACAGTTGAAGTAACTTTGTTATTGCGTGGGTAGAAAGAAGTTTAATATCGATCGCGAAATGTTTCTTAATATATTTACAAATCGTTGTAATTAATGAAACATTGGTGAAATCTGTAGTATTAAGATCGATAATTATATAGCGGCATACGTTACTTATTGTACGATCCCACGAAGATTACACACATTTAATTTATTCAAGGTTAAGATATATTATCCTGTTTTAATAACTGTTCATTACTTTCCATATATTTTGCGTATAGTATAAATTGAATGCACTTCTGTTACATTTCACACCGTGAATATAATTCAAAAGAAACATATGCTACTCGATATATTATTTAACCTGTATAAAGATTCAACAATTTGTAAAACGTTAATAAAAGAAAGCTATATTTGGTTTGCAGTGTTACTAAAATGAAGATCGATGCGAAAGAGAAGGAATCACGAGAAAGGTTAAAAAGTAGTGAAATTGGTAAATTTCAACGTTTCTGCATGCGCGCTACGAAAGAGAAACCAGAAATCAAGAGGTCTCCCCAGCAACAGAATTCAATAAGTCCAGCAGCAGCCGCCAGAGGTAACAGCATCGCTAACGTGGCCAAGAATTTCGAACCAATAGTAGCACTTGGCAACGAACGGCGGGATGAGTCAAGTTAGCCCATTGGTCGGGCAATCGCCAAGGGAGCTACGGTGGGACAACGGATAAACAGATTTCAAAGTTTCGAAGTGCTTGCAGCACAGAAACACGCAGAGGGAGAGCTGATGTCCGTGTGCGCATGTTTGCCGCGAATCATACTTCGAATCCTTGCGTAGTGAAGATTGATATATCTGATGGTACAGTCGTTATTTGTCACATGATTTTGGACATTTTATATGCGATGTCATGTCAAAATAACAGTGACAAGTGAGGGAAGGAAAGATATCGAGCGTCGTTTTTCTGGTTGGAATGAAGAGCGGCTTTTGTTTACGAAGAGGAGGGGTGACTTCCACGAGGATTCTCGAGCGGATGCTGGCTGTGTGGCAGTTTCCCGCGCGACGCACGTGAGTTCAGTGAGTGGGCTGATGAGAAACACAGACGAAACACGTAACCTAAGATTTATAGACAGATGTAGTGCGTAGTAAATCGTAGAAACGTAAACGAGGTGAAACATATTCGAACTTTTTTCATTAATTTCCTGTGACAAATCATAGGAAAGAAATTGAATATGCTACTTATTCGGAAACATTCCATAATCGTATGTAAGAAGAGGTAGTTCCAGCGGTATTTGTCAAGAGATTGTCGCCGAGAAATATACGGAGATGGATGAAACAGAAAACATAAACATCAGCGAGACACCTCACAGACCGATAAACAGGAGTAATCGCAGTTCTCATGATAGTGTCGATAGTGGTTACTTGACTCTTACACCTCATTCTGGTGCGTATACACCAATAATTTCAGGATATAAGTCTAGAGTATCATGTATTTCGTCAAAGAGGCATCACAGAATTCGATTGGATCCTCTACAGTCGGAACGGGCTCAGAGGCACCGATCGAAATTAAATCATTTACCAAATGCGTCTGAATCCGATTATTTAGTTTCCGAAAATTCTGAAAGGGAAAGTTTGATTCAAGATCCATCGAATTTGAGCGATGATCACTCGAATCTTACCCTGGATAGCTCCAGCCTGGAGTTAACGAATCAAAGTACGGAATGTGGTGAATTTAACGGCAATGTTCGGGATAGAACCCGTCGGAACTGCAAAACGACAGTTCCTATAACACCAGCTTCGACGAGGTTGCAACTTCTTTCGCCGCCACCGTCACCGGCAGTGCCATCATCTTCCTTCATAGCCTCCGAACCCATTGAAGAAGATGTGGAAATGAAGCTAGTCATCGTGCCTCAGAGCACACCCCATCAGGTAACCACTACTTCACCTAGACGGAAAACGCCACCACCACCACCTCCGCGTATCGTTGTTATCTCGCCGACCTGTAGAAAAGCTAGTCCCGCGATTAGTTCAGCAGACAATCAGAAATTAAGCAAGCTCTCTATCACGGATCTTGCTGCCATCACAGAGATCAAGCCAAAGAGGTTGGACTTCAGTCATCGTGCCTTATCTGTTGCTTTACACCATACTAGAGCTACTCCAGATCACACAGGTAGAGAAACAGTGGATATATTAGCACTTCTCGGAGACAAAAGCAATCATTGGAGGATAGTTTCCAAGATATTGTCATTCCTTGGGTCACAGGACCTTTGCTCAATCAGTATGGTGTCTAAAACGTGGAGGAGAATCTGTATCAGTGACTCTAGGGCCAATACGAGAAGACTGACCCACGTAATACTCAGACAGAACGCTAAAGAGAATTTAAAGTTAATCAAAAAGTCAAAGATGGAAGGAGACAATCAAGGCAGTCCTAAAAGCAGATACGCGAGAAAAGGGTACTTATTGGAAGTACAGAATCTTCTTCAAGTACAAGGAAATCAACGACCACCTAGCAGTCCACCTGTTTCTCCCAGTAAAGTAAAATTCCACTCTTTCGTCAAGGTAAGTGGATTCATTGAACGATCCTTTCAAACTTATTTACAGGTTGTAAGCTTCAGACGTATGAAGCATACATTACAGAATAATAACTGTTAATTATACAGTTGTGCAGGGTTACGCAACATGTTTTCGCATTAATTCAGATACCATGGGAAATATCAAACTAAATTTCTGAGATTTTTATTATATACAAAAGAGATAAGTACAAATACTTATTTATATTATCATTATTATTAATACAACATTACAAAAAGTATATATAACAAAAAATTATGCATAGAAGTATCTCATTTGATAAAATTTTATCCTAGTCAAAAATCATATGATAAATCTAACAGTACATGACATAGCAAATCAAATAGATTGACTAGTTCATTAACCTGTTCACCTCTCTAAACAAACGTGAGAAAAAGTGTGTGCACACATCTTTTACGTTGCAAACGTTGCGTATTTAAACGACATACAAAGTTTCTTTCTGGGGATTGAATACGAGCCCTGTAAAAGAAGTAATGTATGTTCTACATTAGCGGGAGTCATGTTCTATTAGCTGTTATCATACACGCCTGAACTCGAGTGATACATAGTATATCACTCAGAGTTGATCAAATTTTTATTGCTAGCGATCGAAATTGAAAAAAGATATTATTTCAAAAATAAAAACTATCTTTTACATTAATTCGAATCCAAAATGGAGAATTAAAAAATGCAAATAATACTAATGGCGTTACGGGTCGCGATTTACAAGGGGATTGTTCGCTCGCTGAAAGTAATGGCCATTACAGGTAGAAATAAAAATATTTATATTCCGAACGTAGTTTTGCCTTTATTGAATAATAATGGCTCTGATCAACGAGGAGAAACGGTAATGCGGCGCAGAGATATTCGATATGAAATATCGCGAGGCGTATCTAAACCTATAATTAGGTTGGTTTATATATTCTTTCTGCGCCGTCGCTGCTGCGCAGTCAGAGGTTATACTTTTACGAGCGAAATTTTGGGGAATAATTACGCGGTAGTAATCGACTACAACCCGGTAGCCTAGGATTTCTTTTAACTATCTACCTCTCGCGTACGTCTCGCCGGCGTAATTTGCACATGAGTGAACGAACGAATTCGTATTAAGCAACATAATTGTTTCGTTGGTGAGATCATCTGTTTGACGTTGATTTATTGTGATTTCTTCTTTGAAACGCCGCTGCTCGTCAACCGCGACGGTAGATATTCAGCCCTGAAAAATCGCCCTCTCGCGACGGATGACGGAGCTTTCGACGCAGCGAATTCTGTGCTCTCTAGGGTTAATTTAAGTGTATCGAATTAGGAGGATACGAAAAATCTGTCGAAAAGCGGTCGTTAGAAAATTATACATATTTAAAAACATATTCTTCTTGCAATACTACGATCTATATGGTATTATTAGGATTATTATGTAAGATGTTTGAAAGGGAGATGTAATTAGGTAATTAATAATATAATATAATTCATTTATATTATTATATATAAAGTACTATAAGTTCCTTTTCTTCTTTTTTTTTTGTAAAATAATTGGAGAAGTATTGATATTAAATTGTTAAATTTTTTGGTAGATTTTAATTTCTGAAGAATAGAAATATTTATCCTAGAATTTTCTTCATTTTGTATTCATTTATTGCTTATATCTTAGTTTGTAAAATCATAGAAAATTAATGATATGGAAAGTAATTAAGTAGCGGAAAGTAATCTAATTAATTGAAATATTGGACAGTGTCTTCTAGTTGCACACAGTGGTATTTTTGTCTAATATTTGTGTTCTAAAACACGTAATAAAAAAGTTTTCATTTAATTAGGAGATCTAGGAACTCTAGAACTCCCGGAAGAAGGTCGAAAAATTAAAAATTAAAGTTATTTCGCTTGTGCAAAGAATTTTTCAAAATTTATTTATTGTGTACTTTAAATTATAAATTTAAAAATTATTTTCTTCATGTGCAAATATAAAAATGAAAGTTAATGGTAGTAATGGTGTAGTAATGATCATGTGAGGTATACTGATTAATTATTATTTATATTAAATATTCTAAGTCGCAGTGGTTCAAAGAAAAATTACAAAATTTGATTTATACAAAATAAATATGTTTATATAAACTATGTACATAAGAAGAATTTAATGTATATAGTACATATTGTTATTCGTGTTTATACATCATTTTGTAAAATTTTATACATACATATATGTATATATATAAATAAAATTTGTAGGAAAAATTTGTTTTGAAACTTCGTTTTGAATAAAATTTTTTCCACAACAAACATGTGAGGAAAAGTGTGAGTTGGAGAAACCCCACTTCTTCCCTTAGGCTTCTGCGTGATGGCCTAAGGCACAGGAGTTCTAGCGTTAATTAAAAAAATAAACATGTTATGTTGTAATTACTATTGGAACTTTTATCTGACGCGAGCAAATAATTGTTTTATTGCAAACATTTGTCCGTTTGGTTTGTCAATTTTAAACTTTCATTATTTAGTTTATTATTTTACATCATATATAACCATTATATTATATTATATTATATAACAATTGACAATAGTTATATATATAATATAATATAATTTTATAATATTATATATAGACGGTAATTCGTTTTTAATCTACAAATAAAAATTATTCGTCAACTGTATGCTGTATACAAAGTATTTCCAAGAAAAATTAAATGATTTTGCGCGGACCATAAGAAAGTATAATTATCTTCCTCATAACTGGACGTAAGAATAATAATAGCAATATAATATCTATAAAGTAATTATATTATAAAAGTAATTGGAATATAAAGTTAAGTAATCGAAATATGACAAAGAATATAATAAAATGGAAAATGAACTATACTAAAAATAATTTCAATATAAAATTAAAAAATCGAAATAAAATATAAAGAATATAATGAAAAGGGAAACGCAATATAATAAAAATAATTTAAATATAAAATTAAATAATCGAAATAAAATATAAAGAATATAATAAAAAGAAAGCGGAATATATTAAAAGTAATTTCAACATAAAATTAAGTAGTCGAAATATAATATAAAGAACATAATGAAAAGGAAAACGGAATATAATAAAAATAATTTCAATATAAAATTAAATAATCGAAATAAAATATAAAGAATGTAACAAAAAAGGAAACGGAATATAATAAAAGTAATTTCAATATAAAATTAAGTAGTCAAAGTAAAATATAATGAATATAATAAAAGGGAAAATGAACTATAATAAAAGTAATTTCAATATAAAATTAAGTAGTCAAAGTAAAATATAATGAATATAATAAAAGGGAAAATGAACTATAATAAAAGTAATTTCAATATAAAATTAAGCAATCGAAATATAATATAAAGAACATAATGAAAAGGGGAACAGAATATAATAACAATAATTTAAATATAAAATTAAATAATCTAAATAAAATATAAAGAATATAACACAGAGAATACGGAATATAATAAAAGTAATTTTAATATAAAATTAAACAATCGAAATAAAATACAAAGAATGTAACAAAAGGGAAAATGGACTATAATAAAAGTAATGTCAATATAAAATTAAGCAGTCAAAATAAAATATAATGAATATAATAAAAGGGAAAATGGACTATAATAAAAGTAATTTCAATATAAAATTAAGTAGTTAAAATATAACATAAAGAATATAACAAAAAGAAAACGGAATATAATAAAAGTAATTTAAATATAAAATTAAATAATCTAAATAAAATATAAAGAATATAATAAAAGGGAAAATAGACTACAATAAAAATAATTCCAATATAAAATTAAGTAATCAAAATAAAATATATAGGACGTAATAAAAGTAACTGCAATATATCGTATAATTTGTATTTTCATGTATGCACATATATACGTACTTCCAATTATTTTATAAGAATTATATTGTTCAAAAATATCGTACACCATTCGTTGTCTTAAATTTTCCAAAATGTCAATCGAGCAAATACATAACTATAAATTATCTCCCTTCCCGGATGTTTATACGTTTTCCAGGTTATATAACCATATTTCCTTTTGCTCCTTGTTAAATTATCTTCGAGTTGATTTCATTCTAGGGGAAAGCAAGCCACACGCGAACTCGTTTCCTTTCATTCATGGTCGAACACATTAATGGTAACGTGTCTGCTCGTACCTGGGAGTACGCCAACTACCTGCCATTTGCACCTTCAGCTTTCGTCGGTGTGCATTTCTTCTCGCGTTAAATCGCGATAGCAGTAGATTAGGGAGAGTAGGCGGTCGCTTTGTTATCGCGGCGCGAGTAACAAAAGCTCTCGGGCATGGCATGCGGCACTTCAAGGCCTTTTGTTGCACGCACCGCGATAACAAAGTAATCATCAGTCCCTTTATCAAACGAATTAGCGTTGCATTCCGCGAATTAATCTGCTACAATCTTGCTAAACCGTATCGTGACTGAAACGTTAATTGGTAAATTTTGTCGGTGTCGAATATCCCTTTTCTTCTTCAGATCGTGACGAGTATTTAAATGTACGTCACGCGTATTGTTTCTCTCGTTTCGTTGCAATTTTTACCTTAAATTTAAACAAGCTAACAACGTGTCTCTGATTTAACGAGTAAAAGGAGAAACTTTACGCTATAAATTTAGTTATTTTTCAAGTAATATTTTATAAATAGCGTGTTTTATTCAATTTAGTCATTTTTAAATTTTTGAAGTGTAGGTGGGGATATTGTTTTATATAATATTTTAACCCTTTGCACTCCAGAGGTGCTCTTCAATCACCATTTGATAAAATTTTGAAACTCGATATTAATTAATATATTAAATTTAAAATAACGTAACAGTGTGCGAGATATCGAAATTAAATAATTCTACGTGTTAATTATTATACGATTTCTTATTTACTGTTCAAAAAATATCGTCTGTCTTATGGCAGAAAATTTTTCAGCTTGTACCTTTCTTTAGCCAAAAAATCGTCGAACGCAAATGGTTAATATATGCCATTTTGGAATAT